AGTATCAGCTAAACTGTCAAATAGATATTACAAGTAACAGTGGGGGTTTTTTAAAGAATAAAATTTCCTAAAACTGATTATTTCAGTGGAGAGGAACAATACACAGAAAATAATCTGACACAAGCTTCTGCTTCTTAGCATCTAAATTATGTTAGGTTTTGGTTTGTTTTTTTGGATAAATTATGTATTTAAACATCCTGTTTGCAGTGCAACAGTAATATAAACCCCTCTTTTATGTTTTTGGCAAATGCTGCACATCACTCACGCTAAGCTTACCGTTAACTGTGAACTGTTAACATGTCTTAGTGTGGTTTCAGTGTTCCTATAGCAAGGCTAAACAGCATTTAGAAAACAATGATATCCCCAGGCTCGCACTGTAGTTTCTGAAGCACAGATTAAGCGCGGTATTCTGCTCAACAAGCTCATCACTGTTAAGTAACTCATCAGAAAATAAAGAGGGAATTATCAAATGGGAATTGCCAAGTAATTAGTTCTCTGAAGCAGATGACATACAACTGTTAAAGGGAGGGGCTTCCCTGTTAGTCATATGTCAGAGCAGAGTCTGCTAATCTGTAAATAAAAATGCATTACATATGATCAGTGCTATGGGGTTTTAACTCCGAGTGGTACATGGAGAATAAACTTACAACTTCTAGTGTAATAATCTACTAGGATTTTTTTTTCTCTTCCATACAGTGAATTTTCAAACCATTCTGGATCCACTTGCTGTGGAACTACCTGGGGAAAGATATGAATACAGCACAGTACCATGCAGGGGATGTGCTCAGGGGCTACGGAAGATTTACTATCACATTAATTTGAAAAATCAGTCACTACTCAGCTACTACACATGGCAGAGAAAAGGAATTGCACTAATGAGAAAGAATTCACTAGCACAGAATTTCTGAGCCCAGTAAAGGAGGATTAAGCCTGCTTTCTGTAATTACCCTTTTTCATTAAAGCCTGACTTTCTTTCAAGGAGCTGGCCTCACAGAAATGTTGAATTTACAAAACTACAAGGGCCCTCACCCGTGGGTATCTGACAAACAAAAATGTGGTAACAGTCACAACCACACTCCAATATGAGTGAGAAACACTCCAACATTTGTACTTTTTATAGAGCAGTGAGTGACTCAATAAATCCTGAAGCCAGGTTTACAGCTAGTCCCAAAATGGGTTGATCACTGCTAAGTAACTGACCAGAAAATAAAGAAGGAATTGCCAAACTTGGGGTTTGCCTCTATCGCAACATCTCACCACAAGAAACCCCTCAGCCAACACATTCAAATCCAGATGCTGCCACCTGGGATAGCTTTCAATCAAAACTATCCCGCTGGTATCAGAGGCTAACTTTCACCGAAAAGCACACCCCAGGTATCGAGGCACAGCAAAACCCACCAGCACGCCACTGCCCAGCACGCACAGCCCAGGGAGAGGGCAGGAGGAGGGCACGCACAGGCGCTGAGGCTTACGCACAACCACACGTCCCATCTAGTCACCTCACCACTTTTGGCCCTCAGCACGTAGAAGTTCTCCACCTCTTTAATACACTAACACCCAAAAGCCCACACTTTAAAGTAGTGCTAACAAGTTGCAGCATGTGGGACAGCAAGTCTCATTCTGTCTGCAGATACGCCTTTTTAAAACAGAAGATGGAAGGTGAATCAAACCTCAGGTCGTGGATTATATTGCATTATGAACTTGCGTTTTTATTTAGACAGATCACTACACCCAACTCCATTTACACTTTAGACCGTGTTACAAAACTTTCAATCAGTCAGACACCAGACCTTCAGTAACTGCAGAAGGAACAACAGAGCAAAAACATGAAAGGTCGTGGCTGAGGTGACAGGGTAGGGCGGAGGGAACCACAAAGCCTCATTTCTGAGACATCAGTCTGCACTCACATCACTTCATTTACCTTTTGAGTTATTCACACACAAAACAAACAACTAAAAAATTAAAAATGATTTCTAATTACTATCCAATTATACCTAGTTCACATCTCCATTTCACTCATCCTCTTAACATGCTAAACATCTCCATTGCCTACCTTCTTTTATCCCTACAGCCATTGTAGGCATCCATAAAGAGTATGAGAGGGAAGAAATAAAACCAGGTATGATAAAAGGACACTGATATGGCAACCAAAAATCCACCATTGGACACATTAATACAGAGATGGATAGCTCTTTTTATGTTCACTACAAAGTATTTTAAAAGGGCAGATTGCTGTCCATTTACAGAGAGCAGTAGCCAGAAGTCTGCATAAAACAGAAATTATGTCTGTGTAAAAAATAAACCACATTAGGTAATGTTGAGACATACTTAGGGAAAATTCTGCCAAAAAAAAATTCTTACAAATGGGCTGCGGCTGTAAATTCAACCCGATACTATGATATGATTAATAGATATCAAGTGACTCGACAGTGGAAAAGATCAAGAAGAAGTCGTTAGTCGTTAAAATGTCCAGTGTCTCACGCAAAATCCTCTACACACAACTGTTTAAAAGAAAGCACTGAGTCATTTGCCTACGTGGTAGAAGCCAGTGCACACTCTGAACAAATAACAATAACTCTGTTTTGTAGAGCAGGCTAAAATTAACTAAAGTCAGGATTTGAAAAAAAAAAAAAAAAAAAAAAAACAACCAAAAAAACTATCTCTATATTTTTAAATTTTATTTTTACTAATCCCCGTGTCCTTATTCAGGCAAGATGCTTAAGCAGGCTCTGCAAGAACGTTGCTTGCATTGGAGGGGTAAGCACACCTGGAACTCACACACAACAGTGACGTCGCACCCTGAAGCCCAGGGTAAAGTCAAGCCTAAAGTAAAGTTTCTGAGATCTCATCTGGGGTGAGTTCAAACGCGTCCGATGCTTGGTCCCTCTGACAGACCCCGTGGTAATAACGCACGTCTGCCTGAAACGGAGCGGGGCTGTCGCCACCTTCACCCCGCAACAAATGCAAAAGCCGGAAAGCCGATGGGTCTTGGCACGCGATGCTCCACCTCGAGCTGTGAAACCTATCTGTGCCTGCCCGCTGCACGGCGCCGCGCCACGCTTCTTCCACGTGTTACTACTGCGAGCTCCCTCCCGCCTGTTAGGCCCAGTGACAGAGAGAACGTTTCCAAGCAGGCAGTCGCTACCCCCGATACTTTTATTTCACTTATTTACACAGTGGGCCTGATTTTGATCATTCCCTAGAGAAAATGAGAACTAACTAACGAGGCCAACAGAGGTACCCCAAACTCAGCGACTAAAATCTCCAACAAGAAAAGAAGCCAAAACAAATCTGATCTGAGGTTTGCAAATACAACACTATACTTAATGCTGCGCTGGTACAGAAAAAAAGCAGTACAGTATTATATTCCTGTCATGCCTCTGCATTAGACTTAAGTAGGTTATATTTTTTGTCCAAAACATTTGCTTAACATCTAATGTAGTCTTTCTCATGCAATCACAGGAAATGCCAGATGCTAAAATATTCAAGGTGACTTAGCAATACATTGTAGCTAACAAAATCTGATTATTCATAGGATTTGACCAATACACTGTAAACGATTACTTCTTCTAATTAAGAGATATAAGCCTTTCCTGGAGTAATCACTTCTACAAATAAATACAATTTCATACAACCCAAGCTCATTCTGAAAAAAAAAAAAAAAATTAAATGCTCCGTGGAAATTATAATGTCATAACAAAAAGCTTCCTTATATTCAATCTCCCAAGTCAATAGCTGCTACCAAGTCAGTTTTCTTCCAAAACAGAAAGACAAAACGTGTCAGCGCATGGACACTTTGTCTGGTTTTTCACTCTCAAGAATTTTTTATTGCTCTGAATAGATATAGTGGTTACAATCCACCCCCACCATTCAAGCTCATTTGCAAACCGTAACAGGCATGTCTTTGCATGTAACTACTTGCTCAGACAACTTGCCTCTGAAACACAGCACCCTTCCCTGCAGCCACAATAAAATGTAAATTACGTGTTGCATACTTTTCTGTGACATGCTGTATACATTAAAAAGTTATTCTGCAATGAAGACTTTCTGATCAGCCCCTCGTAAACAGAATGCTATAGTAATTAAGTGTTCTCACTGTAAATAGAGAAAAAACATCCTTTGATTTTCTGCAAGTAACGACTACATTTCATTTTCTTTTATTTAAAGACATAGGCAATTTTCTTACAACCATTTATCTTCTTTTTTAAGCATTTGCAGTATTGCCAATACCAAGCACTCAAAAATAATATAACAGGTCCAAAAAACCAGGCTGGCTTAATGACAATCAGATTAAAGAAATAAAATAAAAATTTATGTTCTTTATATTGGCAGTTTGATAATTGAGCCTTGAGACCTGTTTTTTTCAAAGTATTCTCCACGATCATTTGAGAAGGAGAGAGAGCAGGCCGATGTATGTGCACCATCACAGCCTGTCTGGCTACATCATTTCAGGGGAAAAAAAAAAAATCAGAAAAAATGAAAAAATTCCTCAAACCAGAGTAAAAGACACCCAGGCACATCAATAGGGACTAGTTATCCTGGGAAGTGTCCTTATGCCAGACAAAGTTTAGTGCACAGGAGGAACTCAGGACACTGGAAAAGTCAAGCAGGCTGCAAGCAACAGGCACCACTGAAAATGTTCATAAAAGCTCAGGAAGGATTTATACAATTTCATGCGTAGCATTTTACAACAAAAATCATAGCCTGTAAACCTTTCCATTCATACTATCATCTTTTAGTAACTGAATATGCTCTGACCTGAGGTTAGCACAAAGCCACTTATCTGGAACCCACTGTCCTGTAAGTCACCAAACTGAGTCAACGGAGTTAATGGAATTTTTCTGACGAGAGTTTCTCAAGGACCTCTACTGCCAGGCAAGGGAAGTACAAACTGATCACGGGTAGGTAGCCACAGACACAAGTAAGGTGTCCACGCTGATGAGAGCCCAGAGCAGACATTGTACACTTGTTAGAGGAAATAAAAAGCACTATATTCTCACCTTATTGGCAGTGCGTATCTGTATGGTGAAGACAAAAATGAACGTGGTCACTGTCCTACAGGGGTCAAGAATAAGTTCACAGCTTGTATTGCTTGCCCTTCTGGCTTGGCCTGCGATGTGACTGTTGATCCAGGAGTTGAGGAGATGGAAACCAAAATAAAAAGAAACAAAACAACAGTTAAGAGTCAAACAATTTACAACATGCTAAGACATCCCAATGAAGACTGAGAGAGACCGTTCTTGCTATTACTCAAGCACAAATAAACTGTAGATTTAATCCTGCAGACAGAGCACATACAGTAGAAAGCACAGCCCATTCATTCAAACCGAGTGCTCTTTTCCTAAATGTTATCATAATGAGATGAAGAATCATAAGCAAGTTGAGATGACTGTCTTCACTGCCAACAGAACATACTTTATTTGAGGAGGAGCATCATGCAGAAAACATACTGCTGCAACTACTACTATCAGGTGAAAAATAGTCAGGTTTGGGACTGTGACATTACCATGTGCGCTATTTTGTCATTAACAGTGGCATGATAGAGTCAATGCATATTACTGCAAACTCCCAAATAATATAAGAAATGTGGGGAGGGGTGTTTCTATTTCTGTATTTTTTACTCAGTATACTTACAAAACGCCAGCATTAAATTTCTGCTGACATCACATATTAAACAAAATACATTGTGTTTTTTCACTTGGAATCTCACCAAATATTCTTATCACTCCTGGGACAATAAAAGGATTTAGTGGAACCATCTCTCCCTCACTGAGAAGCATTTTTGTTGTTTTAGTTTATGAGCGTACTTACTCGTTCCTATTTATGGGAGGATTTACACACATACTTAACTCTAGATAGGTTCTTTAATCAATCCTCATCCAGCAAAACCCTCACTGGGACGAGTATTAAAGCAACTTTACAGACTGGGACCAACGCACACACAGAGATTAGCATGTGTTGTACAACCACCTCGGACTACACCTCTGAGGAAAAAAATGAAGCATTACTTCTCAACACGTGCACTGAGATCAAAAAGGAATTATGGTCATCAATCCATCTGCCTTTTTGCAAAAGTCAGGAGTCTGTGAAGTTTGTTACATTTTAAAATGTTAGTCATGTATCGGCTCAGCCAAAACCAAGTAAAGATCTTCAGCTTCAGAACAAGACTCCAAAATACAGTGCCTTTGTCCAAATACCTGTTTATTTATTTAGAGCACTTACTCTTGCATAAAAGTAAAATGAAAGGATGAGGTCAGAATTTTCAGTCTGCAGAGCTTAGGCTACTGAAGTCACTGGAATACAGCATGTTATTTCATTGCAATTAAACTATTTACCTGTGCCAAGCCTGTCGTCCTTCTGTTTCTCACGCTAATTATATTTTTGTTAAAGCAGAGTTGGTTACAGCGGTCTCAAAAGGGCCCTACAACTCAACCTGTTCTCAGCGCCCCGTGGATTGTACACACTGTACCTGTACAGTCGTCCACAGCAGCTGAACCATTCACAACCTGTACGCTGAGCCGTCACACAGCCCGACTCCCCTCAAGCGGCATCAGCGCGAGCTGCCTCGCACGCTGGAGTAGGCTTGCAGCTTCAGACCATCTATGCAATGCTGACACGCGTTTCCTTCAGAGCCTGCCATACTCCTTTATTGCATTTCCTCTTCAATTAGTACACCACAACAAAAGCAGCGCGCTGGAGGAACAAGGACAACGATAATCCTGACTGCCGTCCCCTAAAATGTGCTGCTGAACTTCAGCAAGGGGAAAATTAGGCCTTGATTTTGTTTTACTAGCTACATTACCACAACAACTATTTTTAAATTCTCATGTTTAAATCCTTAGTTGCTTTTCAGGTGACTGCATTTAAGTGTCTATTTTCTTAATTAACAGGAAACTAGGCCACTGGATCTATTACATAAAAATTTTTGTTAAGTGAAATTTCAGGTTTCTTGCAAATGTTTTTTAAAACAAGACTACTTTTTTTTCAACCTTTCTACATAAATTCAATCAGGCCAGGAGGGGAAGGGAGAAAAGTTGCACTGTTTATTTTCAGGAAGTCTTTTAACCGTGTATATATGGCCTTTTTGAAAATAATTACTTTCTAACACTCTTAGTCACATAGGTAATTTGTATTACAATAAAATACGTATAAGCAGCACGCAGCACACAAAGGCTCACTCTACAGGAGCCATCCTGTGCGCGATTATTTCACTCTCCCCAGCCAGTCCTCCTAACAGGCTCCTCTATTTCAAGCCACCTCCTCAGCACGGAGGCCCAAAACGGAGGCGGCCGTGCCGAGGAGAGGATATTCTCTCCTAGCGAGAAAGGCAAGTTAGTTGTGGCACTGAAAAGCTGCACTTCAGGTGTAGGAAACTGGCCACGAACTCCCCATCCCCTCGCCCCTCCGAGGAGAAACGCCTCCGCTCGGCAGGCAGGCTGAGACCTGCAAACTCATCACACCGAGCCCAAGGCTGCCAGCTGCCTGGCACCGCAAGAGCTGAACCACCGACAGGCAATTCTCATTACCTCCTCCAGCTCCGGTGCTTTACCACCAGAGCGATTAAAATATCTATTTTACTGAGATATTTCTGGATTGCATTATGTTCCAGCCTGGTACTACAAGCGCTCGGGAGCTGTGGGTGCCAATGATTTCTCATCACTGAGACACAAGATCCTCCGGGCCAAGTTCAGTATTAGTGTAAGTGCACACAAGATTAGTGACTGGAATAGGGGTGTTAACCACTCCTGCAGATGCTTAACGCAGCTCCTTTATCAGGCAAAAATCCTATTTAAGCCCACAATGCTTTTTGCCGTAAAAAAGATACAGAGAAAATGATGGTGATACACAGCAGATCACTTTCTGAGCTCTGTTACTCTACTACATGGCTGGATTAAGTCCAATAAATGGAGTTATTCTAGATATACACCCATGTAAGTGGCTCACAACCCTGTCCCCTGGAGTCACTCCAGATTTATGATATTAGACCAGAGTGACAGATTTCGTACCTTTAAAAAAATTATACCTACATTTGGGAAAAAGTGGCTCAAAAGAGTAGTGTCCAAACACTAGGAATGAAGACAAATATACGTTCCTTGGTCAGATACATTTTTAAGAGCAGTACAGAGTTTGAGGCTAATCATACTGCATATTTTTTCAAAGTATTACTAGCTTCGTGGCAGAAAGTCTCCTGCTCTATGGCTATCGTTCTGATGAGCACAAATGCCAAAAAAAAAAAAAAGGCAGGCAAAAAAATATCATTATCAGAAGCAAGTTATTTACTGATAATAAATTTGGTTTTAATAGTATATACACTTAGTTTTTTATCACGAGAAAATGAAGTCAGCTTTCACCTAAAACGGCTAAAAGGGCTTAGACCTTGCTAAGAACTATGAAGAGGCTTAACAAAGCTAAGTGATGACAGTGATATCAGGTATCACTGATTTTAATTTTACTGGTCAGAAGGTGTAAAATACAGTACCTAAGTGGAGAATAACAAGCCTGTGGCCTAAAATACAAATGCTGGAATGAGAACTGTCACAAACACCGTTACAGCCACCAAACAGTTAAACCAGCCAGCCAGCAAGGAAAAAAAAAAAAAAAAAAAAAAAGGAAAACTCCGCAGAAACTTTTATGCAAGCTTTTATAAGCCAAACGGATTTTTACAAAGTACCACGCCTTTGTTAATTTGCTAATAATAAACACGAGTGGAATTGAGGATTTGGCTAACCTGCCAAGCGTGCCACGCACCGTCCCACCTGCCCGACAGCAGGGCGGGCGAGGAGCACCCTTCCCCAGAAGCTCAGCCCTTGGGAAACCACCACCAACCACCACCAACCACCACCAACCACCACCAACCACCACCAACCACCACCAACCACCACCCGTGTCCTTCAGTTTGGGGCAAGGCGGCGGTGGCGGCCCTGGGGCGGCACAGGCGGGGCAGTGGGAGCCCGCTGGGTCGCCTGCCAGCCGCACACACACGCACACACCTGAATGGACGGTGAATTCCGTCTGTTACCATGGCAGCCTGATCTAATTACATGACTGATCAGGGCTGGAGTAAGCGCGCTGAAAGCCTACGCCGCTGACATGTCGCTACATGACGGGAGAGACAGACAGACAGGCGAGCGCGGAAGAAAATCTATCGACCTCTGCCTTATGTAAAAAGTGAGGAGATTACAGCCACCCTTCACAGAAAAAAAACAAAAACCTGCTGCCCGTAAAATATCGGGCCGGTTTTACAAACAAATTAGGTGCAATAACGTGCAATTACAACTTACTATTACCTCGCTGCATTGCAAAAATAACTACGGCGTAATATTTTCCCCGGCCATTCTCAATTTCCCTCTCCCTCATTCACAAGCCTTGCTCCGTATCATAAAACTGAACCATCTCCATCACCCGAACAGAAACAGATGAACGTGAAGCCGGGATTTTCCTTTAGGGGAAGGCTTCGTTCGAAACTGAAATTAAAAGTCCTTGACTTCTCGGTGTGTAAGCAGAGTAACTCACTACGCCTGACCACATCTGACACGTAAAGTAACCATTACTGCATAAAATACATAACCATGAGCGTTAAAGGTTAAAGTGTAACCTGCGTTACAAAATATGAATTTCTTTACCATACAAAAGGGAAAAGGTCTCCGGCAAAGGTCATCTACCTGCACCCTTGCCGATCTGTACACAGAAAACATTTGTAAGGAGGAAGGTTTTACAAACATACGTTTCTTTGCCCGGGCGTAACAGAAATGCTTAAAATTTTTCCCCAATTCTGTCAGGAGTTCGTGCTCACAGGGTAGAGATGCTGCTCGGAGGAGTCCCTATTACACAGCATACGGTAAACAAAATAAAAATAGCCTGTCGCTCTCGTTGTCTACACAGTGCATTATATAACGGGCTTCCGACTTGTTTTCTTTTCTATTATTACTCTTCAGTAATTCCTCCTCTTCAATAACATGCAAATCGCTCCCAATTCTGTCATTTTATTATTATCGCTATTACTATTACAGTAGGAGCTAACGTTTTCCAGCCGCCTTTAATTTCGACTTTAATATGCTCAGGAATTGCACGGACGGATTCAGCACCCACAAACATACCAAGGGTCATTTATTTGCTTTCTGCCGGTAAATTACGACGCCTTCGGAAAAAAAAAACAAAACAAAAAAAAACCGAAACACCCCCCCAACCCGATTCAATCCAACACCCACCGCCACCGCCACCACCCCCCCACCGCCCCAAAACAAACCCGGCGGCGGGAGGGCCGCGGCCCCGCTCCCCGCGGGACGCCGCCGGCCGGACCCCGCGGGCGGGGGCGGCGGCACCCCGGTTCCTTCCCCCCCACCCCCCCAAAAAAAAAAAAAAAAAAGAAAATCCCATCCCCGGGCCCTCCCGCCTCGTCCCTCCCGCCCCCGCTCCCCCGGCCGGCAGTACCGGGTGGCGTCTGCAGCCGGCCTGGGCCCTGAGTGAAGCGGAGCGGGGCTGCTGCCGGGCACATCCCAGCCCCAGCGCCGCCTCCTCCTCCTCCTCCTCCGCCGCCGCCGCCGCCGCCACCTCCTCCTCCTCCTCCTCCTCCTCCTCCTCCTCCTCCTCGCTTCATTCACCCTCCGGCAGCCGCCCAGCCCCGTACTCCATACGCCGTGCGGCGGCGGCGACCGGCCCTGCCGGCACCCGGCCCCGCGCTGCGCCCCGCCGGGCCCGCCCGGCGCACACGCACCGCACAGCCCCCCCCCCACACACCCCCCACCCGTGTCGCCACACACGCACGGCACACCGCACAAACCACACACACACACACACCGAGACTGCCGCACCGGGGGGGCAGCCGCGGCTCGCAAAATGTCCACCGTCCCCGCGGCCACCCAGACCCCGCCCGGCCCGGCCCGGCCCGAGGGGGGGAGGAGGAGGAGGAGGAGGGGAAGGAGGAAGGAGCCGGCGGAGGGGTTGGGGAATGTGGGGAATGGGGGATCAGAGCTGTACGAGCGGCTCCCTCCCCCGGACCGCCTCGGCCCCCCCCGTACCCCCGCTCCGTTCCCTCCGCTTCGGCCATTTCACGGCCGACACCACCCCCCCCCCCCCCCCCCCGGGGCCGCGGCAGCCAGGCGGGCTGGAGCCCTACGGGGGGGTGGGCAGTGCGATCCCCTTCCCCCCCACACCCCCATACCCACAGCCACCCCCCCCCCCCCGGCCCCGTGTTTTTCCAGCTGGAAATCGCCGGCAGTTTGCAGTCTGAACAAGGGAGGAAGCCGCGGGGGGGGGAAGCAGAAAGCAGAGGAGGAAGAAAAAGCCACTTACTGTAAAGTGTCAGTGGAGGTGGGGTTGGCGGGGGGGGGTCAGAGAGAGACTCGCACACAAATATCTTCCTAGCTGATCACGGGCCTTGGGTCTGCTTTTTTTTTTTTTGGTTTGGTTGGCTTTTGTTTTTTTTTTTTGGTTTGGTTTGGTTTTGGCTTTTTTTTTTTTTTTTTTTTCCTTCCCCCTGCAGTGACACAGGTCCGGGATGTCTCCACCACTGTAGTAGAAATGATGTCTGCGGTACGGCGCTCGCTCCCTCTCCTCTCTCCAGCATGTAAATGGGTAACAGAAGCCAAATATGGAGCAGTTGGCTGCCTCTGCAACAGCTCAAGGATCCTACTTCATGCAAAAGGCGGGGGGGGGGGGGGGGGGGGGGGCGAGAAGGGAGGGAGGGGGAGGAGGAGGAGGAGGAGGAGGAGGGAGAGGGAGGAGGAGGAGGAGGAGGGGGGGGGGAGGAGGAGGCGGCAAGGCAACACTCTGGCAGGCGGCCAAGAGAGCCACACAGATTATTGCACACGCACAGCACCGCCGGGCCGAGGCGGCCCTTAACCCTTTGCGGGGCCGCCGCACGCTTGCCCGGGGGCGGCGGCGACTTGCCCGGGGAGCTGGGGTTGGGGGGGTGAAGGGCGGGGGGGGGGGGGGGTCTCGCCTCGCCACTTACCTCTTCCTTCCCCTTGTAACACTTCAAAGGCTGGGCTGGGTCTCTACGGCCGGGGTTAATAATCCCTGCCCACGCTGCTGCTCCACAGAAGTGCCCGCTCCCGTGGCAGGCTGCGCCGGGGGGGGATCACAAAGCACTTTGCAGGCGGAAAGCAAGGAGCTGGGGTGGGGGGGCTGGGGTGGGGAACAAACAAAACCACCCCAAACCTATATTGTTTAAGGGGGAAGGAAGAGACAGCTAGCGGAGCATGCTGTCCTTCAGAAATGGCAGGGAATGCTGGTCGAAAGGATGCATGAAAATCAGTTGCTCAGTCAAGTCTGGTCTGTCTCTCTAAGGGAGGAAATAAAACTGTGCTGGAAGCCAGGGAATGCTCTGAAGCAGCCTCTGCGAGAGTCAGAAGAGGGTGATTTTATTTAAGATGCCATATTGCATTTCGCTGTGGAGAACTGCGAAGTGATTTAGAGCAAGAGCCTGCATCCCACTCCCTTTTTCTGAATTAGTTGTATTTATCCGGATCCTTGGCATATGCTTGAGTTGCTTTGTAGAAAGTACCTTCCACTTCATTCAGACCAAAGAGGCTCTGACTCATACCGTTACTGAACTACAAGACAGGCAGGGCTGAACCACGCATGTTTGGGTACTAACTCCCTCTGGATTCCTTAGCACGCATTTCTTCAAAGATCCCCTCACATCTCTCCCAGATGTATGCAGACCACTGTGAGCCTCTCCCAAACACCCCCCCCCCCCCCCAAATGAAGGCAACTTACACTTCCCTGGCACGCCAGCCTCAGCCCGTTACTCTTCTCTCGCCACAGGTCTCTGCAGTGCTATAAACTGCAGTGATGGGCAAATAACAAGCACAGATGCAAACTGGAGACCGGAAAAAATATCCTCCTCCTGGATTGGCTCAGTCTGGTCTTCAAGTCTTAGAAGAAAAGACAAAACAGCAGATTATCAAGCCAGGTACAACTTGGAGAAATAAAACAAATTATGGAAGTAATGAATGGAGGAATACAGCCAAAGGACAGTGGGCTGCTATGCTGGCATGCAGCCTGACAGTGGTCCGTAAGGAACCATCTACTCTCTGCTTTGACATCAGGAAGGGAGGCACGACACAGAGAAAACCTCACCCCATCCCAAGAACATTGCAAAAAATGTTGCATAAATACCTAAGGCTGCCCTGTAGCAGCTCCATGGAGCTGGATGCTGTGGGGTCACGGGCCTCAGGCTTCAGATGTGCACTCCCTGTAACGTGGCCATCCAGGCCAAGCTGTTTATTGCAGCTTGTACTCATTCACCACAACAATAAAATCCAAGGTACCCTGTTTCTGGTGCAGGTGTATCTCTTCGGTGTCCGTTATATATTAGCATTAAATCTAGCATTGGAGTCTAGATGCAGAGTACCCTAGGAATCAGCCTGTTGTTACACAGATCAGCAAAGTAGTCCCTTCTATGACTCCACTAGTTCACCATGATTGCTAAAGAACATAACACTGTAAGCTGCAGCACTCTTGATTTAGAGTTGATGCTGTAATATAGACTAGCTTTAGGAAACATAAGGATCTTTTACCATAGCACCTTCCCCACCTTTAGTTCAGGTTCATTATGAAATTCAACATCATTTTCCATTCTAGGAGTGGTCTGGGGACAGAAGCAGCAACAGGCCAAGATGTCTGGACAAACGTGCCACTCAGCACTATGAGACATTGAACCTACAGCAGCAAAGCAGACAGCAAAATTATCTTCACTCAGCTAATGCAAGGTTCATTGATTTAATGAAAGGAACCAAGGGAGAGAGACAGAGACTGGAGATTACTGAAAAATCAAGTGAAAACCCTGGAGAAGCTGCAACTCCATCATCAGGGTTCAATTCTGAGTATGCAGTATTCTCCTGTCTGTCACCTTTTTTATTGCAGTTGTACAGAGTGTTACCTCAGGAGAAAGGCATCTTTCCTTCTCAAACGTTCACCTTGCCAAGAGGTGTGGCACACGCAGAGAAAGAGAAGCCACATTCATGCTGAAGCAAGCTTTGGGCAACTTTCCCTTCTGCAGCAGGCTCGTGTAAGAGGCTTGTGTATTCCTCCACTCTGTGGCTATGGTGTTTGCCACAGGTCCTGCATTTTTTGCCACGCTCCAGGCTTTTACATCTTTGTCTGTGTTTCTGCTTCAGAGTTGAAAAGAGGCCCCTAAAATGTAAGTCGATTGTAAGTCAAAGCACTATTGTTTCCCTGAGCCAGCACGCAGCCTTAACCCAGGGCTTTGGGAAGTTCCACAAGTGCCACCAGCCACATCAGGTTCATAAGCCATTCCTCACCTCTGTTTTGACTTGATATATGTTGGTTGCGTTAACACATGAGAGATGAGGGGACTATACCTCCACGGACATTGCCTGGTACGCAGGATATACTACCACGTCACAAGATGTCCTTGTGCCTCTGCAGCTCCCCTGCTGAGGGCCTGCCTTGGGGCTCAGCATACTCCTTCCACAAAGAGTATCACAAAATACAGAGGTGCTGGTGAAGGCCGAGGGGGTGGGAAACAGCACCTGGACGTGACCTTTGCTGCATGGCCAGGGCAGAGTTCCCTCAGTATGCCTTAAGGCAGTGCAGCCTATTGACTCAGAAGTGCAGAACTAAGCCAGAGGAGAATTTGCGTGGAAAGTAGATGTGATTTTACGTGCTGCCAGGATAGTTCAGACAATAGGGATAAAGAGAAGCAACTCATCACTGAAGCGGTCAGGTCCTGCTCAAGGGCTGCCCCCAAATACCTGCAGTGCACTCTCACAGCAGCTAAGAGCCACTCTAAAACCCATCGACTCACCCCCTCTGAGGAGGGCATATAGCAAGGCGTGCGTACACGAAAGAAGCAGCAAACTCCCAAACCAAAACTCTTCCATTGCAGACCTTCCCGTCTCTGGGGACAGAAAGAGAGCAGAGGTGTGTGACAGATGGCAGTCAGCTGGCGGAGCGCAGTACGGACAGGGGCTCTGGCACCACGGTGGTGAGTGGGACACAAAAATCCACGGCGACTTGAGCATTTTTATTTGGTGCCAGTGAGGTGCTGGAACTGGTATGGCTCCCAGCTGAATATAGTCTTGACCAAAAGATATTCATCAGTTTGACATGTAAGATGCGCACTCTCTAGAAGAAGCAGTCTTTCAGTCCACTAGTTGTAATGTGTCATCTACACTGCATGTTTTATACAATTAATTATGTCTACAAAAAATAAAAGAATAAGAGGAATAGGAAGTTGGATTTTTTTTTTTTTTTAAACATTCACATTTAGGGAAATCCAGTGATTGACAACGTGTTGAGGGTGAAAAGTAATTTCACAGTTATTGATCATTACAGTCCCAGTCTTTAATTTGTCATAAAATGACATTGTTGGTCTCATTACAGCCTCTAGTGGACAGTAGTAATCCACTTCACAGACCTGTCATACAATTTGCTCAAATGACAAGCATTATCAAGGTGGAGGTTACTCAGAGAGAGCGTGAACATACAGTCATTCTTATCCCCTGTCAAAAAGGATTTTTGAAAACAATCAAAGCTTTGTTGTCATTGCTCATAAGGTGCCTTGCTTTACACTTCAGGTATTAACACTAGCTTGTAAATAAACAGAGAACTTCTGCTATTCATTTCAGTTTCAGACAGCTTTCATAAAAACTAAATTAATCTCAAATATTTTTATAACAGAAAATATTGGTTGCCATGTTTTTGGCTTAAGTAAGATGTTTTTATTCCAACTCAGAATCTGCCGACTGTCCAATCCACCTCCTATCTATTTATAGCCCTCTCACATTCAGATAATTTTTGCTAATGCAGTTATTTTCATTATTATTTCAGACATATGCAGCTGATTTAAGGTATTTTAACAGCTTTAACAAATGAGAAACTATAATTTGGATTACAGCTGGCTAATTAAGGTATGCTTTCCTCAGGGAAGTCAAAAATGTACACGATCTGAACAATAACGTATTTGGAATGTATTCTTTAAGTGTCACTCGTGTGAACATAATAAAATATGACTAACGTCTTTATTTTTTGTGTATTCATTTACAAATGAGTGTATCTCCTGTCAGAACAGGGATGTTGATGATGTTCTCCAGAACTCTGTGATTGCTTTCAGATGGAAGGAAATTAGATTAGTAGACACAGAGAACCAATGCTGTCTCTTTAAAGCCACAAGTATCTCATGCAAATTAACATTTAGTGAAACGAGAGCAGAGCATTCATGAAGAGTAAGCAAGTATGTAGTACTACACTGTGACTCAAAGAGAAAAATCTTATGGTCTAAGATGCTGAGGTCCTTTGCAAGTGAATTCAAAGGAAAGGCTGCCGTTAATTTCTTTATTTTACCACACTGTGGCTAGATATGAGTTGTAGGGTTGCTGAACAAATCATCGTTTGTCATGCTTTGTCGTACAGACAATGGAATATTTAAGTAAAAAAATGTTTACCTTATCATTGTCTTGATTTTTAAAAAGAAGCAATCAAGTTCCTCTTTAAAAAACAATAGCTTCAGTAGCTTTGAAATAACAGTAAGTCCTTAAATGCAGATCTGAAATAAGATGCTTTTGTTGTTGTTGTTGTTGTTGCTTTTTTTAAACAGAGAAAGCAGTTCATCAAGGGATTAAGAAAACTGATGAATCCTCTGAAGTCTTAAAATCAAGACTGATTTAGTCTTTTGAATAAGTTGTCAGTAAGTTACAGGTCATTGATCTAGAAGGAAGACCAGCTAAGCTACCAGTGACCACTCCAGGATGAACCACAGCCACAGTTAGCCCCATAAACTGTTCCAGCAGTGACCAGTGGAAAATAAGCACTAAGCCCTTTTCTAGAGGTGCTGAACTGGTCTAGGCAACCTCTCAAGTAATAACTTTTTGCGACCTGTTAGGTGCTTTATGGCCTGTGGTCTTAAGCTGTCTGAGGTCTCCATCCATGTCCCGGTCTCCACATGCCTCCTCTGACATTGCTGCTACCCCTATGGCTGGTGTGAGCAGACGCATGGAAACTAAACTGCCGCCTTATTCCTGGAAGTGATCGCTTCATCTTGGGGTTAAAGTACGCCAGCAAGGCACAGAGGGGAAGCTGGGCTCTGTGGAAAATGCTTGGTTTCCAGGGATGTCAAGGCAGCGCTGCTAACAAGGATTAACATTCAACCAAAATGACGGTGCAGGCCTAAGGAGAATTCACCGTCCTCTTTGTGGGAGAGGGCTCTTGGCTGCTAGCAGGGAGCAGGTGGAGGCCACAAGCCCTCCTAAGAGACATGTGTTGTCCCTTTAAATCATACCTGGTACAGAGACTTATCTGGGAGTTCACTTGCCAGGTTTTTTTCTGTCTGTTAAGGGCGTTATGGTCTAGACAGATTAGATTAGCATCTATCCTGTAAACACTTAGGGTTGGGAAATAACTCTTAGCCTTTCTTAAAGCGTCTTACCCGCATATAAGGCAGTGTGGTTTCTAAAGCCTGCTACAGTCACTCTGATCAATGCTATGCATATTTTGATAAGTGCAATGAGTTTTTAGGGGAGGAGGGAAATGGGCTAGAATGGGCTGCTTACCTGTTTGAACAGACCCAGGAATTGAAAACTTGGATTTTTGACTCTTACGTCCTTTAATGCCCCCCAACTGAGAGGCTGTTCTGGTCTATTGAACAAATCCTTCCTACCTCATGGGTCACTGACCTACCAGACCTTCAGAGCCAATGGGCTCAAGCCTGCTGCCAAGCCTGCACGTCTTGTTCACATGCTAAAAATCTTACCTTTCATTGAGAAAAAGTGCAACATATGAATAACAGCTATTTTCTACCCTCACTCTATCTACCTCTTCACAAAAAAATGATACACATGGGCCTGGGCCCCAAAGCTCTCATGCAAATTCAGAACTGAAGTTTACCCAATTCAGCCAATATTGGTAAATCTGGGCTCATGCCTTAGTTTCAAGACAGAGGTAAGTACAAGTTGCTTTATGTCCAAGACCAGGGTTACTTTGTATCTATATTTTCACTGTACTGTCAAAAAGAAAACTAAGACAGTATTAACCAGAAATACAATAATAGTCCCGAAATATCTTGTACACAGAAAAGAGCTATATTTCTTTTTTTTTCAAAAGGTATCATATGCCACAAGACTGCAGTCACCTGCAGCACAAGAATGGCAAATTTGGACGGTGCATAAACATTAAAAATTTACGTGGGGTAATTTTGGTAGGAAGGAATTGCTATATCCCCTTGGATTTGTTCCGCAGTCATGGTCAACTGGAAAATCCTCAGGCAGAGATGAGCTGCAGGCATGACAGTGAATTGCCTGGAGGGTAAGAAGTCCTCAGCCTGCAAGTCTTTGACCAACAACCTTGGTGAGCATGGTAAACATTTACCTTCCATCTGATTACAGGCTGAGGGGGTAGTTTTCCTGTTTCTTCTGCAAGGTCACAGGGATATGTCCAAAGAACCCTGAAAATCCATAGTTTAAAAAAGAAAAATGTCCTGGGAAAAGTGACAGGAAGGCGGAGGTAGGATATGATTTCAATTCCGTTATTTCTGCTTGTGCAGACCATTTCATAACTAGACTGTCATCGCTTTAATTTCTTACTGCACATAGGCAGCACCTTTCTCTCAGAGATTTTCCAGATCCTTATTCAGCAGAGGCCTTTCTACTAGAGGCAACAATTGTTCCTGTATTGGCTGAAATGTCATACCATGTCTTTCTTTCACATTTTCCACAGGAGAGCTCCCATTCATATCTGTCTTCTTCCTTTGGATCTGCCCTCATATCATCCTCATATGATATTATTCATTTATTTATACTTACGGTAATGAAAGATACTTATTCAAAGCTCTAGAAGCCCATAGCAATTACAAGAAAAACACAACAGTGTAAAAGCAGTTTTCTCAAAAAGAACTTAGCTGGGTACCCAGGTACATCAGAAACGCCTGCCTGCTGAAATAACATCTTCAGCCTTCTCCCAGGGCATGTGTCTTTCAACACAGGGCCTCTCCAGAAATCATGAAATACAAACCCTTGTGAAGTATAGGTTCTATCTTAGGGATAGACTCACTTCTGCATGGATTGTTCTTCCATGGTGTCAGGTGGGGCCAAGAGAGTGGAATGGGCACCTGGGGGCAGGACCATCTTATGACAAGCTGTTCCTCGCCAAGAGATGTTAATTCTGAAATGGTTCCTCACTGCAGATTTTTCACAGTTTATATTCTCATCTTCTTTGCATAACAGGACATAAGAATGGCCACACAGTGGCCGTAGGACAACAGTGGTCATAAACAGACTCTTAAGGAGACATGGGCATTATGTACTACTTCCTCTGCATACTCTCCAGCCTCCCACTATTTTCAGTTTAAGGGACTTCCTGAGCAGGATGTGGTTTCTGCCTATTCAGTAAGCCTCAATGAATTTATCTCTCAAGACTTGCACAGTCTCCTCCATCCATCAGCATGTGTAAACTGTAAGCATCCACAATCCGCTATGTCACGCTGTACACGTTGAGTTCCTGATGCAGGAAGAATCACCTCATCCTGCCCACTTCATTCAATGTTCCCAGCTCTTGCACTGAGACAGAGAATGGCCAGTCCCTATCCATACTTCTCATGCTTCCTGGAACTTTGCAGACACCTATCATATTCCCCCCAAATTATCTTTCTTTCAGGCTGGAAAGGTTGTTACACAAACGCATCTGTTACAGACTTCACTGCTTCTGCCGCAGTTCTAACCTGGTTTTGAGTTCCTCTGTCTTGGTATTAGTTCTGTGACATCCTCACTCCCTCCGTTCTTCTGCCTGTAGAACAGGGATAATAAAAATTATCCTTTTACCTTGTGGAACAGTGGTGACACAGTGAAGTACATGTTTTACGACTATTAAAGCAATACTGAATGCTCTCTTTTCCCAAGGCTTAACCAAGGACTCAGAAAAGCAACAATCCACATATCAAGGACAACAGAAAACAGTATTAATATAAACAAATATAAACCCATGATTCTATCTAGATTTTTTTCATCCTTGTTTAGTAACACAGACTGTCTAAAACCCTTCCCATTTCATAAACTACCTCTGTCAACCAACCCACTCTGGTGTTAAAAATCTGAAGCGATAGGACATACCCCACCAACCTCAGGAGATTATTTCACACACTTATATGTGTAACAGGTCTGAAAAATATGACATGCTACAAAAGTGGGATAAGCAGGTGGTTTTCCTGCCATTTAATCTGTCTCTCCCCTTTTCATGATACATCTCATTTATTAGGACATAAATATTAAGTAATTTCTCTCCCTTATTTGGCCCACCTTCAGCTAGGTGTGTAAACCTGGTACCTAATGTAAGGTGTACAAATCGTCCCATTGTCTTAATGATTCTGAATCATACATTTAAAGTCAGCTATGTGCTTGGGGGTATGTCTTCGTGAACAAGTTACAGTGAGGCAGTCACGGGTGTGGATTTATAGGACACCAGCTACTCAGCAATAACTGCACGGATGAACACCCTCTGCCTGGTGGTAAATGCCAAGCAGGTTAGCCTAGAGAGTCCCAGCCACAATCACCTCTGCCTCCCCACAATCGCTTTTGCTGCTATTCTCTGAAGACTGCTCCTTCCACCAGTCCGTCCCCAGCAGTAACATTATGCCCAGAAGTAAACATGATAGTTGCATATAGAGGCACTACCACCTCCCTCACCGCCAAAGTGATCCACCTCCAGACACAGCTCAAATAATTATTTTTTTTTTAACATATCCCTCTAATCTTGCAAACTGAAGCAAATATTTAAGAGACCTTGTCTCCCTTGCTGCATTACTATTTCAGCCCTTTTTTTGTTTATATTAGTAGGATGCTGTTTGCAGAGTCTTCATCGTTTATCACACACGAGTCCTCTAATTCTTAAGCCCCTCTGTTTCCCTCTGCTGGTTAAAAATGTATAGCGGGGGGGAGCAGGGAGGGTGGGAAACGGCAAGCAATTCCTCAAATAATTCTCACAGTCAAACAATGTGCCCAGTGTAGGGGGGGTTGGGGGCAGAGGGGACAGAGCTCGCCAGTAAAGTGTACCAGTGGTTGCTGCCCCAAAGATACTTCTGAGAGCCTGTAGGTATTGTTACAAAATGTACATACTTCGCAGGGTCCTGCACAGTTTATCAGCTGTACAGAAATTCCTGTGTAGTTTATAATCTGGGCAAGCATCCCAGCCCCAGCGTTGTCTCTCGCTAGAGTCTCTTCAGAGTATCAGAGGTTCCCAGGAATGCTCCCAGAAGCTTTTAGCTCAGTGTGAGTCACTGCCAAGTTGAATGGTTTCTTCGAGTCCCTTGTAGCGATTATCCTGAAAACTGCAGAAGAGGAACTTGCAGGCTCTGTAAGAGTCCCTAAAAGGCTCAACTTGTACAGGAGCCATGGCCTGGCCTCTAAAACATTTATCTCAACCTTGCACACATTTAAGGTCTCTCCAATGAAATCACAAAATCTACGTGATGTATCTTGAAATTAAAGCCTTTTCATGAGAGTTATTCCTTTGGTGATTTCCTAAAATCTTTGTTTATATTCTAATAATCCCTCAGATCCCTAAATGAGGATCAACGCCCCTTTCCTGTTTGAACTAGATGCTCAAATCAGTTATATGAGGCCAAGTTTCCTCCCTGGGCAGTTTACAACATAAGCACACAGGTTATGTCGTGCACAGTAAATGATGCAGTCAAATATTCCATTATTTGACATATCTCAGAACAGTTATCTCCTGAGAAAAGATTGCATTTTCGAGGCCAGCTGATTTTTCAGAAATAGCAAACAATCAGTGGGGCAAAAAGGGTAGATTCCTCCAAACGTAAAATGACAATGTTTACTTGTTTTAACCTACAAAAATTATAATTTCCCAAAACCAAATTGAAAGAACAAATTCCAACAACAACCAAGCCCCTTTTATTCTTATTCTAAAGAACTGTAACTTGATATTCCCTACTTACTGTGCTAGCTGAGGATTCGCCTGTCTTCTTACATGTTAGCATTTCTGATACTTCTTACTAGCCAAAATGTTCATTGGGTTTCTTAAGTTCCAGTATATTGCTTCTTCTGAATCTGTTACTCTTGTAGTAGCACTTTCCCTTAGTAGCACATTGAATTCATATAGTTTATGGTCACCAGTTCCTAGATTCCTTACAGTGCTCAAGTCTGCAGTGAACAGAAAGATAAGATATCAGCTTGAAATCTCTACTATCCGGACAACAGACCAAAAATTGTTTTTTACTTATTTCAGGACTTCAGACTCGGAATATCCATGTGTATAATTAAAATCTGGATTGTTAAAATGTACTGAAAATACATTTACCATGAAAATGTTTCACCTATTAGTTATTCCACTTCAAACTCTTCAACTCTGCAGTGTTACTATTTTGTTTTGTTTTGAAGTTTGTTCCTTTTAAGCTAACCCCAAAGAATTTCACTCTCACCCATTGTGGTTATCAAGCTGTAGTTTGCCAGCATTGTACGTATTTGTGATACACAACTCCCTTCTGCTCTTCCCAGCTTTTTCTTGTATACGTTGATTAATATGCCTTCTGTATCAATATTCCTGTTAGGAGAATTAGCTCACTCTCATCGGGAATGCTCACCAGATAATCATCTCCATCACTTGGTAACGCTGCTCCCAGTCTGTTGTATAACTCCTGTATAGGGACACTTGGTATGTAAATACTCTCCTTAATCTTCATCTTTCATTTCAAGGATAAAACAAAACAAAACAATAACAAAACCTCCTCTATTTTGCATGCTGGGAGAACATGCCATTAATATTAATTAATTTATTTATTTAAAGTTGGTAAAAGAATTTGCTCTTAGGCTGGGAATGTGACTGCCAAGTTTCCTGCCTGCAATTTGTTACGGCTCAGTAGTAAACTCCTGAAAATAGGAATTTGAAATGGAAATAGTGACAGGCCTTTTAACTACGCTATAATAAGCAGGGTGTTTTATCTTGCATACTGTATGTCGTTACACAATGGCAGCCTATCATAATGTGCACGGAAAACAAACAGGGTCTCTTTAGATCGCTCTCCTGGCTAAAACTGGGCAGACAGAGGAAGTAAAACAGTCTGAAAAGACAAAAGACTAGAAGGTCAAGAACACCACACCCAGACCTAAGCCCTTCTGTTACGCAGTGGAGCACAGGGATCTTCGAGAACTTGCTCTTGAATAATTTGACTTTGATCAGCTTGCCATAAAAAAAGAGGTGTAGTCTGCTACATTGCTAAAGGGAGTAAAGAACGAGGCTTTCCTTAAGTCTTAAGCTGGAAATTAATGTACCCAGACCTGCCCTGTTATGCAGAAGAAAGCTCCAAAAAGTATCTATTTCTTGCAAATGTTATTTATCTGCCTGTAATAGTGCATGCCATGTAATTCTGCGTATATAAACCACATGAACATTAAAGCAGGTTTGCATATGAGCTTTCAAGCATCGGTTGAAAAATGTAGTTTTTCAGAGTTGCTGAACACCCAGAGTCCTAACATGACAGCCAAGTTTCTCCAAATTTACACCTGTGTAAATGACAGCAGTACTGCATCTTTGTGAAAATAAAATACTACTACTGTTTTTTACAAGATACTTGGCAACCAGGAAAATAACTGAAGCATATGTACAAAACAGAGTCTCTGGGACTTGAACCAGGCACTTCTGGTTTGTAGCACACATGCTTAAATGCCATATATTGAACTGCCACATCATGTCTATTTTTACTAATTGAGTTTACTTACTTGTGTTTGGGCACTGTACCAGCTACTCAGCAAGACCAAGAGATTAATGTAAAAGCCTCTCTGCATTTAGAAAGTATAGGCACTCTAGATTTACAGCTGCTTATTTTGAGGGTGGCTGACTGCTGATCCTGATGTCTTTGAGTAACAGATGGTTTTGTGAGCTGCCCTGATAATGAAAATGATATAATTTGCCTCTTAAGATTAAAGTAAAGCAGAGAGGCAGAACAAAAGAAAAAGCAATGTCTTCACTGTCTACAAATAGCATACCTGAGTGTGTGGGGGGGAAAAGCCTAAGCAAAACTGAAGGCTATCAATAGTCTTAGAAATTCACATGAGGAAAAACTTGCATAAAATAACCCGGCCTGATCTGGACTGTGAAAGCATTGGCCCCTGTAATGTTAGAATTTATAGCTTTAATCTTCTTAAGAGCTGCATGGCTCTTCTCACATGCAGGGAAAACAGATTTGATGTTTCTGAGATTAAAACTACTGAGCTGAACTTTGCTTGTTATTGGCCAGAAGCATTTGGAAACCTAATAAAGCATTCCATTAAAATCTTGGCATTTTAGTAACACAAAAGAAAGGCTTCTCAAAATGCAAGTCCAAGGCAAAAGGACACTTTTTTGGGGGGAGGGAGAGGGGGGGGGAGATTGTGGAATTTGTATTTTAACAAAGTTTTCAATGACTTAAAAATAGATCAAAGGAAACATGAGGTAGAATGGAACAATAAATGCTTGATGTTGTAGCAATGTGCAATTCTTTGTTATTTAAACTTTATTACATTTGAGGACAGTTTTTCATGTTCTTTTAAACCTCATACTTTTGCGAGTCTATGAGTAGCTGGAAAAAGTACAACACTCATCACTGACTCACTGTGTGGTCTCTAACAGGTAACGTAAGGCCTGATTTCTTAAAATTATGAGCATTCACAACCATGGCTGAGATCAACATGAGCTGCTAGTATTCTGGGCTTCAGATGATCTGCTTTACTTTGGGAAAAAAAAAAAAAAAAGTTCCATTAAGGCTGACTAGGCTACAATTTTAGCTGCACAGGAAGCTGATGCTGAACACAGTTATGCACCTATAGCCAGTATATGATTTGATTTGATCTATGAGGGTGCAACTAATATTTCTGTAGAAAGAGGCATAATACTCATGGTGATGGTAAGACCTATGAGGTCAAATCTGTAACACAGCTGAATAAGGGTAATGATCTTGCCAGCAGTGGTAAAACCTTGTACAGTACCATTTGGGCAAATGAGATGAGAGCTGCCTGGTGCTGGCTGCACTGTTGAAAGCCCCTGCTTGCCTTCTCCACCAAGGTACAGTGAAAAGGAGGTTCATAAACTGCTGCTTTTACTGTGTTCTGCAGGCAAACAAACAAACAAACAGAAATAAAGGCTTATAATCAAGCATAAAAGAAGTAAAGCTTCATAACCAACCCTAAATATGACAGGTCTCTTACTAGGGTTCATTGAAGCGGTTTGGGGTTATGTCACAAGCTAAACAACATTAATTCTAATGTTCTTTGAAATGGCTTGGTCCTGTCTGTACTGGCAAAGCCAACCATGAAAGCTGTGCTAGAGTTTGCCTACACATTGTTATATCTAATTCAGATCTTCTAATTATGGTCTACTTATAAGTTGCCCTGTAGAAGCAGAAAGTACACAGGCTATCTTCTGGAAAGCTTGTGGTTAAAACCCTGGGATGACTGTAGTGATAATCAGGTGACAATCAAATGCCTACAAACAAATTTTAGCCTGGATTTTACCCCACCCAGAGAACCAGAGTGTTGAATGTGGATCGCACGGCTGGTGTGAATGAGTCCTACACAGGTAACACAAGCTCATCCCACTGTAAACAACTGCACAGAGTTCACTTATGCAATCCAATTTTCTGCCCTTTCAAAAGAAATTCGCCTTTACACAGCTGAACATTGCAGGGTGCTCATAAACTGGCTGCTAACATGGCTGGTATGCTTTATTTCATGTGGTGCTAACATATGAAGAGCTATCTACTGTAACAGATGCTCTTTGACAGTGCAAAATAATAGCACTCAGACTTAAACTGTAAATTATAAACAATCCCTCTCTAACTACAAAATGAATACACAGACTGGGGAGTCTTGTCAACTAAGATATTAGTAAATCAAGCTGAGGAAGACAAATTATTCACTAAAGCTAAAGTAACTAAAATTTTATTCAGTTAACACCACTGTCATTAGAGTGCTCCTGTTCTTTGCCATAATTACTAGATACGAAAGAGTAATTATAAGCGACACATGGTAAAATCAGTTACGTGTTTACTTGCTATGTAAAACCAACAGAAAGTGTTTCTATTCTTTCTTTTTATTAATTTCTAGAAAAGATGCCATGTAAATACTACTGGTAAGATGGCTGGCCGCATCAAGACAGCCCTTTCCCAAGGGATTTCATAATTATGTTTTCCCCACCAAACCACAGACAGGGCCGTGAATTAAAAGTGACCTTGTTGGCCCAGTGGTACAGCTGCCATGTATTTGATTACAAACTTACTAGTACTAATGCCAAGGAGGGGAGTTACAACATAAGCTGAAAATGAAATCAAGCGTAGCTTTCTGCACAGAATGTCCCTGGTAACCTAGCTGCAAAAAGCATTCAACGCACAAAGATGACTTTTTTTTTTTTTTTTTTTTTAACCTTTAAAGAAAATGCATTCCTCCTGTCCTCCCTATGTCTTCATGATGTCCTGATGCAAAGTTCTCCACAAGGACGTGCTCGGGTCAAATACCGTAGATTACAAGGTCTGCAGCAACATCTAGAGTACTTGTGACACCTCAAATCTAAAACTTCTTCAGAAAGGACAAGGAGGAGTTGGGGGAAGCATGGATAAAGGGATGTACACCCGTGCTACACAGCATGGTGGCTCCTGCCCCATAATGGCAGCCCCTCAGGGATTCCTGAACATCACGGCGGGGATGGTGAGCACAAAGCTGGCCTTACCAAATGCATGCAACTGACCATGACCTGCAGGAGGAGTAAAATGAGTAAGCAGTTCATCGTTTTCTTAAGCATGAACAGAGAGACATTTCTGTGTTGCTTAGTTCAGGACCAGACTTGCAAGAGCTGATTCTTACGGCTTTGGAAGAAACAGGTATGCTCAAGAAAAGACTCCAGCAGCTGTCTGCAGGCAGGATTTAATACCCTTGCATTTCGTGGGGCTGGTGGGCAGGGAGTCTCAAACTCCTCTGCATGACAAATGCAGCCAGGTTTTATCTCATGCAAGTGCACTGCCTGCGTCTCCTACAGTACCTGGCGCTAGATCCCAAATGCCAGAGCTAAACAAAGGTACACCCAGGTAAAACTGCCTTATCTAGGTCTTAACTTCACACATTAAGGAAGCGGGACTAACTGTGTGGCTCTCCTCCGAGAACCTTCTTTCTCCTCCCCAGATTAAGTAGTAAACAAGGCACCAACCCCATCAGTTTTGCCAATGCTCATTCAGGGCTTGCTCAGAGGCCTAGTTTGGGTGCTCAAAGAACTTCACAGCATTGAAAGGCTTAGCTCAGGAAATACGAAGGGTCAGGGCCTGCCCTCCAGAGCCTGACAAAAGGGTGTATGGTACACCCTCCATTGTGCAGAGCTGCCTCCAAGGCTCTTTCCCATTTCCCTAGAGATCCAGGGTATTTGTGTGAGAGTTATGAGGAAACCAGCAGAGCAGTTAGCATGCAAGGGGACCTGGCAGGCTCAGTCGAGATTGCTTTAGTTGATGTAGCAAAAGGACCACTTCCCTTGGTCCTGTCCCGCCAGCCTCCTGCCTGGGATCCAACCCAGCCACAGGCCGGGTGGTGAGAAGGCTTCTCAGTCCCCACTCGTCAGAGCCAACAAGTAAAACGAAGCCACGAGTCTAATTTTAATGCACCTAGCAGAGTCACTGTGCAAATCTGCCACGACGGGCAGTTTGTGCCCATGTTGCAAGCTAAACCCAGAACAGTGGAAGGGTCGTAAAATCAGGATTAGAGTTCAACAAGGAAGCTGATAATGAAGAAGCCTGCCCAGACTATGCCCTATTCTAGCCAGTGTTACGTTATCTTCTAATTTTAGAACAGCTGAAAATTTTTCCCAGACCAGAAGTTGACAAGAGGCTGAGCAACGCCAATGTCGTTAAATCACTGTTTTCAGGCACAGTGTTGTCTCCACACTGCAAGAAGTTGTTTCAGCATGTGAAATTTTACAGGAAGGCACACACTGTCAGTGGATGCCCATACAGGGAGCTATGTAATATGTTGAAACCATCTGGCATTTTGCGGTTTTGCAGTATCAGTCAGACGCACTGTCTGGAAACACAGGGCTCAAACCCAGAGTCCTTGATTCAGGTCAGATACCTACAGACGCCTGTGGACATTTGGCCGGACTGAGAGCTGCAGAATAAAGCACTTAATTAGGCGGCTGCAGTTTATGATTGATTTCAAGGCCAGCCGAGCTAGAGGCCTATTACTGCTTAGGAAGTTGTAGTAAATGTAATTATTATGGCATGTTTGATATAATACACGGTCTTCATGAAATGCTCCAAAATATCGTTTTAAAGACTCGTTCTGTTGCTGTTATGCTTTGTACCTTCTGACTAAGGAATAGGCCAGATGATGTGAATCCCGTTGTGAAGCTTACTGAAAACTACCACTAAAATTAATAGAGCATAGTTGCAGGAGAGTATTTTGTATAGAATTACCTTCTCTGGAGTGTGAACAACGCTGCTGAATGCAGGCTCTGGGTTACATTATTCCTGTGATCCAAATTTTTTTAACCAGCTGATGTCACCAGGGAGATTTGAAGTCTTTATAATTACTGCTCAAGGCCTAGAGGAAGGAGGGAGGAAAGACAATGAAATTATGTTTCATATGTTGATTCAGAGAGTAACCTGCAGTGGCCTGTTAACTTGTTTCGTCTATCAGGAAAAGCAAATTAATTCTGTATCCAGTTGCTTTTATGAGTGGCAGCTCAATTTGCTTTCCCAGTTAAGTAGGGAAGAAAGTGGCCTTTTGTCACAAACAATTGCTTCCTGCAATGCTACAGAATAAGATGTAAAATAGGCAAAGAGCTTTGGATACAGCTTCCAACGTTGTACTAAGAAGTAAAATTTCTTTCTTTCATCTTCCCTCAGAGAAGGAATTCAGGTTATGCTCTGCACTAAATTAAAGTGTTCTGCTCAGTTATGTACATGTACAGCTTTGAAAACTGTTCCTGCTTCTAGGTCAAGGGCTCTCCCTGTGGCCGAGTGCCAGCTTTATCCCTGGACTCCCATAATCCCTTGAAATAAATCAACTTTCCATTGAAATCCTCTGCCAGTTCCACTTCAGACTAAAATGTGCTGTCTGTAGCATGATGCTCTTTTATACTTTTGTGGAAACAAAAAAAAGAAGAGAAACAATGTGGTCATTGTATACTGGATACAGTTCAACGTAACCCATGTTGTGTATTTCAAAGGCTATCTTTGTGTGTTGCACTAACCCCAGATTTCAGCGTTTATTATTAGAACTAAGAAAAATACCTTCGACTGAAGGAATAATTCGACTGGTTGAAAAGGATCCCAGCTTGTGTGCGTGTGTGTGTGCATGTGTGTGCGTGTGTATCCCATTACTACTCTCCTCACGTGGACTGAAGTGTGTGGATGCATTATACTACTTCCCGGCCTGGGCAGATGAAGCCCTCAAAGATTTTTTTTTTCTTCCTTCCCCTCCCCTTTTTTTCCCCCCTCCCCTAATACCGATTTTCTTCTCTGTATGTTATAAATGAACCTGAATACATTCACACGTTCCTGTGGAAGACTAAAAGCTGTCACTTCATTTCGGGGAACCAGGCGGCTTTAAACTCAGCTGCAAGAAAGCCCAGATGCTACTACATCTCTGGGGGAAACTTATCTATTCAGAAAGGGGAAAACTTCTGAACAATAACAACAAAATATAGCTTAAAGATGCTGCTGCCATTCTCCTGCTGGTGCTGAGGTCAGTACTTTGGAGAGTGGGTGCCAGTCAGAAACTGCAGTACTCTCCTTAGAAGACTGACATCTCTGAAAAGCTCTGCTTCTCCCCACATCTCAGTAACTTTAAATGGTCTGCCAGTTAAATCAGAACAGCCTGGTATAAAGCCTCCAATTTTCTGACAACCTTTATATTCTCTTGGCTCCTACAAGGCCCTAAAGCTGATCGTGTATAATCCTGAACTGAATGTAAAATAAATATGAAAACCTGTCATGATTTTACAGTTTTCCAAAGGATATTTCACTAAATAAAAAGAGCTGTATTTCTGGCACACAAACGCTCCATATAAAAATCACAGTTAGTTCTTTAAAATAAAGTTACACAATGTGGTGCCAGACTCTGCCCTCTGAAGTTTCCCCCCGAGTGCTTGGGAGCAGCTGGCTTCGTCCCCAGGAGCCGGCCGGCCCCAGAGGCCCCGTGCTCCTTTTCCCTGGGCCACCGCTGTGCAAATTGGGGCAGCACACCGGCCTGGGCCAGCCCAGCCCTCGTGGGTCCCTCCAGCATGAGAGCTGGTGGGGGGAAAGTACCCAGGTCTCCCCCGAGCTGGGACACAGTCCATGGTGGCCAGTTACATCCAGCACTGGAAATTGCTTGTGGTGCAGATACAGCCTGAGCAAACCACGGCCCAGAGCTCACCCCAGCCTTCATGCCCTTGAAATCTGTTGCCTAAGAAAATAACAATTGTTCGCGTAAACCTCTTCTGCTAAGGCAGGGTTATTTAGCTATCTACCTTAACTGTGTGTCAAGGCATGGGCTATAAGCTGGACCGTCCACAAGACTAGAGCACAGAAATGAGTTTAAACCACTGTCAAACTAGCGCTGATTTCAGGCTCCCCTGGTGTTTCAGACCTCAGAAAGATCTGCAGGTCCAGAGCACAGCTCCAAGGCCAGACAGACATAGGTCTAGCAAAGTAGGACCCAAGCTCAGTAACCTGGACAACAGACATGAGGTGCATTCTGACAGAGGCCATGACCAGACTAACGAAGTATCTATTTGCCACCTGGCAGGAAGTCCAAAACACCCGTCCTACAAGTCTTGGGGTAGCTCATGGTTAAAACCACTACAAGTTTGTTTGCACTGTACTGTTTGGATGGTTGGGAGGAAGGAAATGGGGGCAAGACAAAGAAATTCAAAAGGGGAAAATCTGTGTTGTCACTCACAACATTTCCAGGTTTGTCTGCAAAGATCTTCCATCCAAGGCATCTTGCAGGTTTTTAATGTTACACACCTGCCTCTTATATTCTCCTCCTGGAACAGGGTACAGGCAATTGCACTGAATGTAAAAACCACAGTAAACCATATACCTCGGGCTTTAATTTTAAACCAGACTGAGTGAAACTATCTGGGTTTCCCCTAGAATCCCTCAGTGAACAGTTTCTTCAGTTAGCTTTACCACCCTTCAGTCCTTCCCTTTAAATGAGGAGTGCAGCTGAACCCAAAAATTCAAAGCAAAACTCAGCTGAAACCATTATGTTTCATCTGGTTACATGTCAAAACCTCAAAACCTTGTGTGCACAGGGCTCAAATTATAAAACCATCAAGCTCAACCCCAGAGCTGGACCCCAGGTTTGCCCGGAGAGCCCACGAATCTTTTAGAGAAACTGATACGAGTTTCAAGTTCGTAATGAATCGCAAACCCAAAGTGGTCAGGGGACTTTTCCAAGGTCAAACAGGGAGTTAGAAGGGGAGCTAAGAAGAGAACCACAGCCCCAGCCACTTCACACACTTTGCTACCAACAGAGGTAGAAACTCACTCTGCTTGAACTTCACTCCGTATAGCCTTAGCCAAACCACTCAAAATAACCACTTTTTTGCCTGTTAATTGTTTTAATAAGTCACATGGCAATGGATGACTAAAAACTACATCATCCCTCTAAGGATTCAGCTGTGGAAAAAGCATCCATTTAGCTGCAGGGTAGTTATTACTGCATAGCTTTGATTTTGCTGCACAATGCACACCCTGTTTATTGAAAAGCTTACATGGTGCTCCGAGTGAAATCATCATCTCTTACAGGTATACTCTGCAGCTAAAGCAATGAGCTCAGATTCGCTCATCTAGACCCCACATGAGCCCTGTCCACTTCTATGGATCTCCACAATGCTCTCAGGTGTTGGTTAATGCCCCTTTGGACCATTTTTTGACACTATCCAAATCTCTGTATCTAAAACATGAAAATAAAATTTCAAGGTGAGAAAACACACGTGCAGTTAGAATACCTGCCCCTCCCAGTAACTCTGCTGATCGCCATGGTACAAGGCTCGCTGGAGGGCACTGGGGTGATTTCAAGTTCACATAACATAATGTAGTCCTGTTTGAACCCAGACCATCATGCAGTGGTCACTTACTTGCCTGTTTCATATCAATACTACGATAGCTTTAATCTCCAAGACTTTTGGCAATATAGCAAGCAACTGTTCCAGGATCTAGGCTTAATGCTGAAATACCATCAGGGCTGAGGATTGCTACATATTGCTTTCTAATCGTCCCCTCCTGTTAGACACCTGGAATGGCATTAAGGAGCTCTGGCACCATGTCCAGAGTTCTCTACCAACAATTGGAAGTGCTTCTACAAGGTGGGAAGGAGAGGAGGGGGATCAGCATTCAAGGACTGAGTCTAAAGTACTGAAAACATTTTTGTGGGGTGAAGGGTCAGCATTTGAAAAATAAGGTATGGATTATATATACACAGTAAAAAAATGAGATTCCAATACATACCTTTTTCCCATTCAGTTTAATTAGGAGTTTGCTGTACTCCCAGATAGTTTTGCTTGCGGGCAAATTTCTTCTGAGCTCAGCAGCCAGGACTGTATCTACGGCTAAGCTTTCCCACCATATCACTCCAATATTAAAAGAATTTTTCTGGCTTCCTGTTAAACCATGCACTGATTACAAAATTCTTTTGCTTATTTAGGGCCAGATTCAATAAAAATTCTGTCCAGCTTCTGCATCATGGAAGGCCACAAAAGCCCTGAAATATTTTGGTTTTGAAGCCTGTGTGGGCTTCCATGGCTTGAATGCTGGGTAACTATTCCAGTGAATGTGGTCCTCATAAAGCTTTTCAAGGTCCTGCTCCATATGGACCTAGTGATTTCTCTTTATTCTCGCCAGTGTGGATTACAATCCACTTCAGAGAATCTCTGATTTACGCCTCTAGCTACAAGCTAAATCCTAGAGGAATACATCCTTTTCATATCAGGTCACATCCTTTGCAGAACACTGACAGAGAAATTAGTGTTTCTGAAAAGAAAGCACCACTTACAAAAATCTGGTATGTTTTGCATGCTATATATGAATATAAGTGAATGGTAAAATTGAAAAGAAAATTCAATAAACTGCTCATTATCTATATTCATATGACTAAACTACACATGGAATGTAGCTTTTATCCTCCATAAAAAATGTACAGATGTTCTATAGAAAACTGTATGAACAAACTTTAACCTCACGACTGCTATTATTTTGTAATAAAAGGCTTACAGCATAATGTGAGCTTTTTTTAGAATGTAAGTTCCATGTGAGTAGTGTGTTGTTAATTTAATATTAATGCAATGCACCAGGAAGAAGTCTGCACAGAATCTCAGAGAGAATCACAGTGCTGCAGACAGGAGATTTGTGGCACAGATTTTATTTGTTTCAGCACTCAGCACAAAATTCATTGACCAGGATTCCCATTGCTACAGGGCAGTGAATTCATCTACAGACGTTTTCATGTGCCTTGGCATGAGGATTTTGCTGCAGCATTCCCGCTACTGTTCCTGGGAATCATGTGGTTAAGTCACCTTGCACTGTACTGAAAATTTACTTCTCACTGTCAAGTGCATATGAATGAGCTTCTTTTTTGGGAACAGCAAAAGAAAAAAAGAATCCACTCAATAAACTTTTCAATTTCTTTTGCTGAACCATCCTTCAGGTAGCAGGTGCGAAGGCTTTCACCAAACTTGCAGACTGCAAATGCGGTGCCTGCTTTGCTTGCACCACTAACGAATTAAGGTGGGGGAGAAGAACAGAAATCCAATTTCATCCATACAGTCTCCCTCTCCCAGTGCCTGAGCCCTCTCCTCTGCAAGCATCTGCCATTCAGAATACCCATACTGTATTACTGCAAGGAGTCAGTTCACTGTCTCATCTCCAAATGCATTGGTGAAGTAATTTATGACTCCCATTATTATAATCGCCTAAGCAGCTCCAAAGCATGTAAAAATAGCAACAATAATCTCTCCTACTTTTCCTTCCTTAGCACCCCATAGCAGAAAGTGCTTGACTGATCCTATAGGGGTTACACATGCATTCGTACATTTCTATAACTTACAGAGGGAGTTTGACATTTTCTGAAAGTGACGGTGGCTACAGACATCATCATATTCATTGCAGACATACATTTCCTCGGTCTAGAAACAGCTTCTGGGAAAGTCCTGCATCCAGAAGCTTCCTTCTATCGCTTGACAGTTTCATTGCTTCTGTGAAATGCACTTGCGTGCAATCATGATCGTAAAGGAAGGCTCCGTCTCAGAAACGGTGAAGGCCATTTCCTTGGAAGCCTTCCAGGATCAAATCTGAAAACCTACCCAGGACTCCATGCAATGAGGCAGAACTCCCATGCGTAGCAGAGAGAAGATGGGAAGACATGTATGAGCAACAGGCCTATGGCAATGTGCGCATGGTAAACTGACCAACTGCTCCCATCTGTTCCAGTTTTCTGAGCATGTGATTTCAAAGGCAGTTGTCGTTTTACATGGACCGTCGTGGCTGCGCTGCACCCAACAAAGTGAAGACAACAGTCCAGTACCTAAAAATGAAGATGGAGCTTTCCTATTTCTGTGCATATTCTGTGGGCAAGTACAAAAGCCCATATGTTCACAGAGGTGCAACAAATGTCAAAGACCCTCAGCACCTGGAATAGTTACAGAAGGAAAAATTTCAAAGTACCCCTCTGCTTCTACGGTCATCACCTAGGTCTATACTGCTTGGAAAAAATATATTAGTTTCTCTGAAGGTATAATTTAAAATCCATTTTAGTTAAACTGGTGTAAAAGACACAGTAGACAATCTCATATTTCAGTATTAAACCATGTCTGGTTTGGTTTAAGCTTTATTTAGGAGATGATTTAGTATTTGCAAATAAAATAGTCTTAAGATAGCACAGTCAATTTGGTTCACATGTGATTTTAAGTAACACTGATGCAGCTATTTAATACAACTGAGATCTTAGACTTATCTGGTTCACATCTGGCCATTTGCTCTGTAGTGAAATGCCAACTTCAGGTAGTCACTAAGATAATTAGGGGAAGGCAGTAATTATGCTTGCAATAAAGAATATGGTAACCTAGATAGCATCTATAGAGAGGCAGGGACTTTAGCTCACCATGTGATCTCCCCAGCTCTCCAGTGGTTTCACGTGTGTTTGGAAGAAGCCTTGTCAGCTTCCAGAGATGAGGAGTTTGGACACAGGAAAACAACTGCTGCTGGTGACTCCTCCGGCTCCGCCTTAGAAGAAGGAACAGAATGATTTCATGGAGCTTCCACTGGTATGCACAGTTTCTCCGCACAGGTTAGCAGCATTCAATGATCAACAGTAAAAAATATGAAGAGTGATCCAACAAATAATTCCGCACTACCATTTTTCACTGGCCAAAGTTACAGGGACAGTCACAGTACCCTGTGCTACCCTGATACCTCAGTGATAGGGATCAAGTTACTGGCTGCCTCACAGCTGATACTAGAGATTAATTTTTGTCAACCTAACCAGCAGAGGACAGTTAAGTTTTGGGTAATAGCTGGTAGGATCTCACTCTTTGAAAGACAGATCCATGAATGAATCTTCCATTAGCTGTGATGGAAGATTCACGTCAAAGGGGGAGGTCGTAACCTCCATTCACCTCTGCCCAAAATACCCTGTTTCCATGCCCATTTGCTCAAAGCTTAAAAGACCGTGTTACATTTCTTCCCCTGGTTTAGCTTGAGCACTTGGGATGTTTCGGCAGAGCGTGTGAAATAAGATACCCCACACAAGAGATGTGACAAGGTGAGTAGTGTCAGCTGAGGTTTATAAAGCAAAGTTAGGCTCCTTGTGTAATGCCAGAGAAGTCGGCATCTGGCAGTGGCATGGTATGTTGCCGTACTTTGCATCCATGTCTGTGTCAGGCAACATTTCTGCCCCTGGTAGTCATGAGCTGTCTCTCAGTTCTTCTGCTCAGGTCTTCCCTCATTTCTAGAAGGGACTGGGGGCAGGCAGAAGAGCAGGAGCTGAAGCTGAGCATGCCTGGCAGTAGTTATATCTCTGTCTCCCTCATCTGTTCTGTTACTCCAAAATGTTTTCTAAAACCATAGGCAACACAAAAGACAAAAGAAACATTGGGTTGGCCTCCTCTGTACTGCTCCAATCACGTCCCCTTTTTACAATCTGCTCATTCAACAGACTGGCTGATTGCCTAGAGAGCAAAGCCCCACCAGCTGATGTATCAGATCTTTCAGTCAGACTAACGGGACCTATGAGGGGTGGGAAAGATTCACCTCCTCCCTTCATCAGTGACCCTTTCTTCCTTTGCAATTAACTGAAGAAACATCTTAAAAAGAAATATTTCCTGTGCAGTTGATGCTCCCACCTGCAATAATCTGAGTCTGCATATGTATTACCCCATCCCCTTTGGGGTAGGCTGAGGACTCTTCTCCTTCGCTGGCAGCCTTGCAACAGGGACTAAAACTGAACCCTCCTTCCTTGGCTCCAGTTTCTCCTGGTTGCCATCACACCTCGCACGGTCACACAGGATGATGCAACTGACAAGGACACCAGATATTTTTCAGAGTCCTGCCCCCCCTCCCCCCCCCCCCCAGGTGCGGAGCACTGCCACATCCTCCAGAAAGCTCCACATACGCTATTAAAAGAAAACAACCACCACTAAAAACAACTCAGTGCCTTCTACGCTAGAAGTAACAACTCACGGGCAAACTATTCATCTATTAACATTTTTCATTAGAACAATCACTCCCAGCTGAGGCTTATGAAAGACCCTGTCAGGCCAAAATGTCAGCCCCATTACAGTATTTATTATTACAACTGTCAGGCCAGAAGGGTTTGCTCAGACAGGAGCTCCTGCCTATGGGCCAGCCGTTTCATGAACAGGACTGGCAAATGTCAGATGTCAAGTTCTTGTTTCAGGTCCTGCCCTCTTCCCCTCTGACCACGATGGATCATTTTAGCTGTTTAGCAACTGGAAAAGACCACACCAGGCAGGGTAAACATCAGTGTTGTCCTGCTTTTGGAGCAGATAAAAGCCTTTGTCTCAGCTTTCCCTATTTTTAAACTACTATAGTATGGCTTCAAGGGCTCGTGACTGTCAATCAGCAGGGGAGGGACATGCTGGAAGACGAGGTGTACTTTCCTCAAGGTGGTGGCTGCTCCCCATAGCCAGGTGCTTCGGGAAAGGTGGCTGAGGGCATCCGTAAGCTGCAGGTCTGTGCTCAGGAGTCACGGGCTGGTCTTGGTGCAAAGAGAGGATTGCACTTGGGTTTCACAATGGAGTTCACGGAAGTCAGTGGAAATTGAACTGCAGCCAAGGTGGAGAGCCATGTAGAACAGATGTCTTTACAGAGGATAAAACAAACAAAAAGAAATACTCAGAGCCCGAGTTGGAACTCTTGGCCCATGCTAAATCTCTAAAAAGCCCCAAAGTGCTCTAGAGGGAGGCTGTCCGACACACTTAAATTCCACATGTATAAAGTAAACCACATTTGCATTGCTAATTTAATAAAGGACTTCTTGACACAAAGTCAAATACTAGCGCAAGTCTTCTGCATGGAAAATCTCTGATAAGCACGCTCTTTAACTCTCCCTGTGAATGTTCAGTAATGCTCCTTTTTAAAAGTACGTATGTTTCTCCTAGTGTCTGATGCTAATTATCTTATCAGATAACAGGCAGCCCTGTGCTGAGGAGGTATGTAATATATTAGCCTTGGGGAGGGGAAAAGAAGGAAAAAAAAGTCTTATCTTTCAAGTAGATTTGAAACTGCATATGATCTTTCTGAGTCTGTGGAAACTTTCCTCTGCAGCACAGAACTTATATGAGGAAGACAAAGGAAAAAAAAAAAAAAAAAAAAAAAACAAGGAAAAAAAAAAACAAACCCATACAGCTTTCCGACTGCAATTCTCCAGGCTGTTCCTTTCTGTTAATTTTCCCCTCTATCAGTATTTTGGAATGACATACAGGTTAAACTGTTCATCTGGCATGGAAAGCAGCTTTGGTAATTGCAAGTTTACATTACACTATAAATGAGCAGATTATAGTAAACAGATGAACTGTGTAAATAAAATATCACCGCTTAGCTCTCCTTTGTGACTTGTATTCTGATACCACTACTACTGCTTTTACTACAACTATTGCTACTACTGCTAGGCTTCAGCTGACAGCTCAGCCTGAAAACCCTTTATTCATCTTTATTACTACTTCAGCTGTTTTGAGAGCAAAAAGGCATGGAGGACTTATTGGCCAGAGGCTCTCTAACCTAGCAGGCCTGCCTGGGAAATCAATATGCCACACTCAAGAGCACAAAGATGGATTGTGAAGCTGGGGCTGGCAACGGAACGCACGCTGCATCTGGAAGGACGCGGAGACAGCCAGTTCTGCTCCGCCAGAAGCCTCCCGGACCGCGCATGTTTGCACACCAACCTCGTGGCATCCTTCCAAGACAATTTGTGAACCTTGGTTCACACCATTTTCAAAGTAGGTCATACGCAGTAATCTCAGCTGAGGAAAGACACACTGTCAGCAGCAGTCGCTGCACGGAGGGCGATAGCTGTGACCAGTGAGTGAGCTGGTGCAAGCGGGGAGCCCAAGAGCGACGAAAACGCTCGGTCTGGGGCCAGCTGCAGCAAGGTGCTCGCCTTGCTCAAACAGCTGACAGGCGAGCTCTAACAGAGCCAGCCTCTTACCATTTGTAGCTGTAAAAGGACCGACTTCTCCTGGACGCAACCACCAGGACGGCTTAAATATTAATCTGAATGAAAATACAGTAGGAGAAGAAATCTAACCTTTACTTAGCTCTGTGTTCCTGACAGCAGGAATCACAGCTAATTCTGAATTATGGGATTTAAATTTACTATGAGTTTTGGATTATTGCTTCTTAACGTACTTCCCTTACCTGCCCCTGCTCTGACAGACAAAACACAGGCTTGAAGGCAGATGTGTTTTTGACAGAGAAGATTCCTAAAGCACTTAAATTTTCCTGCATTTTCCTACGTCCCTTGCTTGGGCTGTTTTAGGGGCATATAACTAGAAATGGGCACATTTAAAGGTATATTTTGAAAGATGGTGTCCAGGAAATGCAGAAATGAGTATGCATACTTGTTTCCACACTGTAACAATACAAAGGCCATCAGAGAACTACCAGTTTAAAGCAACAGTGTGAAACTTTGCAGGCATACGAGCTGTTTGGAATGTGTTGCCTTTAAACACAGCCTGCACATCATCAGAGATGTCTTGATGCTAGAAAGCTGAAGGATTGCCTGAAGAGTGCTACTGCGTTATGCAATTTTTTTAAAAATGGGTTAATTTTTAAACAGCCTCAATTTAACCTTGCTTCTGGGGAGTAGCTGCATGAATCTGAATAAAAATATGCTCTCTGAAGAAATCCACTCTAATATAACGGGTGTGCATCGTTTTTAGCACTGAAGTCAACATGGAAACAGCAGAGCTGGGCAAGAATTGCTTTTCTTGAATCTGCCAAGAAAAAGGACTGACTTTCCTCCATTTGAAAAGTTGTGCTTTTTCTTTCTTTCCCTTTTTTGTGTCAGGCTGGAAATCTCAAACAGAAAGGAGAAAGCGATTTCTGAAGTTATCACACTCTATTGCAAAGAGGGCGGGGAGGCGGCATGTTGTAGGCTCGCAACAAAGCTTATCTCCCACCCCTGAAAAAGCACACAGAATGACTTTCTGCTTCTTTGGGAACGACCTACCTGATCAATAGCTTGGCCAGGGAGTTGTAAGACACGCAGAAACATGAAACAATATGCTACTGTTATCAGCTAAAAGGGTGCTGTAATGACTTTCTATGCAAATATACAGAAAAATCCATAAATCCAGAAGGGGTTATCACTCAGTACATCATCAAGGGAACAATTTATTCTCTAACACAGGATGTGATACTTTCCTGCCAAAATCATATTGCTTGCCCGTTATCACTAAGCTTTGAAAGAAAAGTAACCAACAAAAATCCCTTCTGCTGCTGACTCCCCAAAAGAAAATCCCTTTAAGAAAAATTGTAACAAAGAAAACCCCCAGACACTTCACTATTTTTTCCGGAATGACAAAAAAGCTAGCTGTGGTTACAAATAGGCTCAGTATTGTACAATTTCAGGTCATGTGAGTGTTATTACTTTTCGGGCTAACTTTTTCTTTTTCCCAGCCAGCTGCTGGCAGTTGTCATTTTAGGATTGAGAGCAAACTACTTTGAAAACAAATTTGTTCAGAAATCTTTTTAAAACGATACAGAAAAAAATCTTTTGTGTTTTTAATTTCAGCTTGGATGTAACCTCTTTTTTTATTTCAGTCTTTGAAAGGAATGAGTCTGAAATGCTAAACAGGTCACAGAGTAATTACGCATCCACCTGAAAATTAAACACACATTCAAAGGCTTAACTAACAGAATATGCTAATTCATAACGGGTACATGTCACTCATTTTTTTTCATGGTTGATCATTAGGGTGTAAGCAAATGTGGATCCCATCAAGCCCAGAGAAGAAACGCTGTAATCTTTCTGCAGGATTAGAAGGAAAGAGACAACAGTGAGGTGACACTGCGTTGATGGAGCTGATCTGATACTGCAGGGCAGCCACACTGAGCCTTGCGTGTCTGAAATCCTGGTGTCAGGGCTGGGGGGGGATCTGGGGTTACTCGGAGGAAGATCAGCCCCGAGGCCTGGCCGAGCTCCTGTGCTTGGGCAGGTCAGCACGGTCACTCCTTGTCTGGGCCAACCTGAGATCAAACCTGGACGGCTACTTTCAACGTTGTAAACCTGTGTCAATCGAAAAGACAAAGATTTTGGCAAATCCTTTTATGTTCAGTGCAGAGCCAAATTTATTTTCTGGGACATGCACGTCTTCTTGCTCTAGTGTTACTGAATATTTTTTGTTAGCTTACTATGTTTTCCCTGACCTTGCATAACACAGGTTTGGCAGCAGCAACTCAGATGCACAAAAGGAGTGGAATCTACATTTCCTTCACAGAGTGGAGGTGTTTGGGTTAGTGACGTTTCTCTTCTAGTTTTCCTTGGTGGTAAAAAACATTTCTCTTTGACCCGGAGAGGGGAATGCACAGATCTGGCAGAGATCAAAGGCCCAGTGAAGAAGTGCAAAGGACTTCAGCATGGCCTTTACAGAGGTGCACGGTAGCACAGAAGAACTGTGAACTAACATAGCTGGTTTGTACATGACCTGCCCACCTCCAGCTGAGCACTTGCTGTGAGTGGGATTTTTTGAAACAAGTGCTGCAGTACTCTAATAAACTGGGGCTGGTTAAAGGAGATCTTTGGCCAATGCAGAGATTGAAGATGGATTAAAGGTAGTTTAGGTCAACCTTTGCTTCCTTATCCTGAGTTCCCTGAGATCAGCACAGGTAAGGACTGAGTGCTAAGCTGTTATTTATTGCCTTTTGGATCTGCTGCTGCAGTGAGTTTGAAAGGTGGCATGACCTGGCTCTTCCCAACTACCTCTGCACTTAGCAAAAGCTCCAGGTTCACAAATGCCGGATACCCGCTGCGTCAGGGACAGGAACCCCACACATCACCTCCCAGACAGCTTTTAAACTGACCTAAGGCTTTTCTCCTGTTTATTTATTTATATATTTTTTTGATGCTATGGTTTCTGGAATACTCCAGTTAGGATTGGAGGACTTCACATGGTCTCCTCTGCTTATGATCAGCAGATAAGTAAATAGGAGTAGGGTGGAGATAAAAAATGGGATTATTACTACTGCATGTTCAGCAGCATGCACATACTTCCATACCAGAGATGGTTTTCCGTAACAGCATCTCTATTTCACTGATGCTACTGCAGAAGTCTTAGGTGCTAGTGGTTGTTCACTGTGGCTTCAATAGTTCTTGTTGGCCAGAAATAACACCTTCTACTAGGTCAAATAGTTGAAACCTATGAAAGGGAATATACCGTGTGCATAGTAAAACTGCAGACTGCATTTTTATTCCATTCACCTCTTTCTCCTCCCTTCTGTCCCCTCAACTCTGCTCTTGGGAGCACTGGAATAAGCCTGACGTGGGAACTCCAGAGAAGTCAATGGATTTATACGGATGTAACTGAAAGCAGAAGGTAGCTAAGAGGCTCAAAGATCTATGCTTGTGTATTATCCCTGACATTTCTGACCAAACTGCTTAGCTGATCACCATTGGATTAGCAGTCTTAGTTTAGTGTTTTATACCTCCTACACTCAGAATGTCAAATGTCAGCTCACTCCTGAGCTGAAAAAGCCTGCTCCTCCATCCCATTCATTCAGAACAGGTAGCACAATAGCTGGCTCAGCCTGAAGTGCTCCATGCCCCAGGACCATGAGCATACCTGGGCTTTTTACAC